CTACATCTGCATCCTGGGTACGGTGATAAACTACATCCAACAGCAAGGCCTTAGATAATGTTTTTGAAAAAATAATGTTGCCAGCTATACGTTTTTGAAACAGTAATGTTGCCAGCTATCTGTTTTTGGAACCATAATGTTGCCAGCTATGTGTTTTTGGAACCATAATGTTGCCAGCTATGTGTTTTTGAAACAGTAATGTTGCCAGCTATCTGTTTTTGGAACCATAATGTTGCCAGCTATACTTTTTTGAAACAATAATGTTGCCAGCTATGTGTTTTTGAAACAATAATGTTGCCAGCTATGTGTTTTTGAAACCATAATGTTGCCAGCTATACGTTTTTGAACGTCCTGGGTATGACGATAAACCACATCCGCGTCCTGCGTACGGCGATAAACTACATCCAATAGCAAGGCCTCAGATAATGTTTTTGGAAAAATAATGTTGCCAGCTATACGTTTTTGAAACAATAATGTTGCCAGCTATACGTTTTTGAAACAATAATGTTGCCAGCTATAAGTTTTTGAAACCATAATGTTGCCAGCTATACGTTTTTTGTAAAAAATAATGTTGCCAGCTATGTGTTTTTGAAACAACAATGTTGCTAGCTATACATTTTTGAACGTCCTGGGTATGGCGATAAACTACATCCGCCAGCTATGCGTTTTTGAAACATTAATGTTGCCAGCTGTACGTTTTTGAAACAATGTTGCCAGCTATACGTTTTTGAAACAATAATGTTGCCAGCTATACACTTTTGGAACCATAATGTGTTTTTTATTCCATACAAAATATGCATTTAAAATTCATATAAACTGGATTTGGCATTAAATAACAGTGGTTGTTATGCCATAAAACCCAAACAAACAAACAAACAGAATGTAAGAATTGGTAGACTTATATGCAAGATTCTGGAAAGAAAATGTATCTAGTGCAACATTGTGAACCAACTTTCTTAGTAGCTGACTTAGCAATGGATTCAATATAGTTTTTCCTCTTTATAATATGAGCCTGAGAAGGCACAACTGGATTTTAGTATCAGCAATGCTAATAGATGGTAGAAAAGCATCTTTCAGATAATCAATAGGGAGCAGTTTACCTTTAAAATTAACAAGCCATACTTTGTCCCAGTTAACAACACACTGTAGGTCATTTTTGACACCAGCCTCCAATTTGATCTTATTGAACTGATCACACTTACTACTGAGACAAAATCAAATGGTTGGGTCATCAGCAGAGATACCATGTTGAAACCTGATTTCATTGGGAAGGTTGCTCATGAAAATCAAAAATTAATTCAGACCAAGGATAGAGCCCTGGGGAACACCAGCATTAATACAAATGGATCTAGAAGAATGGCTGTTCCAGATAACTTTCATTTCAGGATTTGAAATACTTGGATCAGTTCAATACTCCAGATGAATCAAGAGTAGAGTTTAAGGAGAATTTACAGATGAAACATTCAGCTTTATCATGAGATGTTGTTAACTTGATTGAAGAGGAAGGCATAGAAAACTTACTCTTCTTTAACACATTATTACAGAGCTGAAAGTAATAATAACAGCCAAAGTTGTTCGCTGCATACCTCACAAATTATCTTGCACAAAGTATTTAGAACACGTACAATAAAAAGCAAGCATTATGTGAAGTAACGAATAAAAACAGATCTTCCTTGAAATGTCCCATAGATGTACATGATATGGCCTTGGCAATATATTTTATGTTCTTATTTATGATGCATGGTATTGTCTGGCTCACCAAACTGACTACTGCCTTGATCTGCTGATCCTTATTAATGGGCAGTCATGTGACTCTTGGGTGCCTCTCAAGACATCAGTAAATTCATCCTGTCTAAAGGGAGATAATCACCTTATACATCCCTACATTGGTATTATTGGAAACTAACAATTCTGTTATAAATTCTGTTAGCATAATGAAGGTTAATAGGATATCTGTTGTCACACAAATATCTCTATTGGCTTACAGAGCTTGTAGGCAGTACAAGCTCTGTAAGCAAGTAATACAGATATGGACCTTAAATATAAAGTCTTGATTAATGTAATATCAAAATTTAGTATACTAGACTTGACATCATATATTATGAAATGGACTAAGTATAACGTATAAACAGAAAATGTATTAAAATTTACTAGATTTCTATGAGTACTGTTTTTACTCTAACACTAACCATCAATTAAAGTTATACTACTACTAACCATGGGTATATAATACCTGATTTTGAAAATATCAAAAAAAATATTAAATATAAATCTTTATTTGAAATATTTTACATGCAAGCACTTCAAACTTTGTACTTTGGAAGAACTGAAAAACATATTATTTAGGTAAAAAAATCAGGTACTGAAAATTGTAATTAAAAATAGGAAAAATTGTGCTGGGTACTATATACCCATGGTTAGTGTTCTAGGGTAAACCACCATAAAAACTCTTTCTTCCTAATTTTCAATTCACATGAAAATGTAAAAATTTCAGAAGAAA